AGTGGACCGAATCGAGATTTGAGTGCAGACCTCGGATGTTAGTGAGGTGCACTTTTATTCAAAGGTAAGCAAAACAAACAAACAAACAAACAATATTTGACTTTATTAAAACACAACGAAATTTAAAGGTCGTAACTAAGTAGACGATGGCATATTTAATTCATAATAAAGGGCAAATTTGAAGATTCATAAGAGCATCGTCTATTGCTGGACCGGGTAGGCCACAGTCACGACCGCACAGGGTTCCCAAAACGGCCCAATGCGGGTCGGTTGAGAACCCTCTTCTATGTGCAGGTTTCATCACGGTGTTGGTATTGCTACTAAATATTCACAAATATACATAACTCAAAAATGAAAGTAAAAGGTGCAAATAGACAAAGCAGTGTAGCAATGTGTTGTATTAGACGACAATCGTAATTCAGACTATTTTGGGCGAAATATAAATCAGATAAGTAAATCGATTGCCTTCATTGTTGTCTGAACACTTTAATGAAAAACATGATAAAATCGAAATTTATAAAACAACTGATAAGCAATTAAAAAACATTGAAATGGTAAGCGTTTTATCTGCCACTGATAAAGCGGGTCAAATTCAAAACATGACTCATACAATCGCAATTCACGACCCGATTCGCCTTCTTGGATCGAATTCTTTCCTTCGTTCGATCGAACCAAAAATTCAATCAATCAATCAACGGGTCAATGCGATCATTCATCCTAAATGCTCCGTAGCGTAGTGTCCATTATTTGGTAATTTTGTAAGTTTAATCTATATTTCGGTGTGTTCTGATTATTATTTATGAGTGCACTGGCTAATATTAATTAGTAGTTTTGAATGCTCATAAGGTTTTTTGTGTTTTAGGAGTTACTTTTCCTGGAAATAATTTTTAGTGTCCTAAGTATGGTTTATCAATGATGCACTTAACTTTATACATTACCTATCAGCAGGAAAGAATAATAGCTAATTGTATCATTAGATACTGTAAAACGCCATATGGAAGTATCGTGAGGTACGAGAGACCCGCTAAAGGATTCAACACATGATCGAATCCTTTGATCCGATCATATATGATCAGAATTGATCGATCGACTAATAAAGCCAAGAATCAAAACACTCACTATTTTATATTCTTTAGTTTTATGCCAAACAACCTGAAAATTTCAGGTTTCTCATTAAATAAAGCCGTAGCAAAAAATATTTTTTAAGAGCAAAAAAATAAACGAAATTGTTCCGTAAAATGTTTAGACAATGTCACTTTTGGAGGCAAGGCATATCTTCAAGGATGATGAAAAATTAATTTGTAAAAATCAAAAACAAAGTAAGCAACACTAAAATGCAGCTTAAATCCTAAAGTCTTGAGCAATAAAGAGATTTCTAAAAGTCAAGACCACGGCAAGTATGATATTTTGTACTTTGGACCGTTCTTATCGAAAGCGGCATAGAGTTGGATTTAAAACTTCAGTGTCAAGCTTGACGTGCTCTTGATCCTGTACGGTCGGACCGAGTCTATTCGGACGACTTCTCGTCGCGTGTAAACACGTGATCCGAGCGGACTGGGACGCGGTTCTATTCTTACGAGTGTACTCGGAAAAAGTGGAATGAACGTGACTCTATGAAGTTTTAAACGTGTTTTATCTTTCTCTTCCATTATTTACAGCACTTAGTTGGTCACGTCTTAAAATCCATGTTCTGGTCCAAATTTTTCTCTAGCTTTGTCTTTTACCTTCAATGATTTTGTACATCAGTCATGAACATATCTGCTACAACTTAGGTACATGTCCCGCAGCAGCAGATCAATCGTCTTCATCTTGGTTGTGCAAGGAGATAAATGCTACTTGGACGCTGAGTAACACGTAAGGTGTAAATCAAAATCCGAGTGGACTCCTATACGATCTAATGCGCACGACAGCACGGTCCGAGAGCACTCGTATAGTGATAACTTTTTTATAACAAAAACGAAGTTTTATTGAAATCGGTTACCGGAAAGTGCGCTAAACGGGATTTATCTGACCAATACTGAGGTGCCCTCTTTCCAACAAAAAAATCATCAAAATCAGCTCACAAATCCATAATAAACGACATATACACTGAAAAAAAAAACAGTTGAATTAAGAACCTCCTCCTTTTTTGAAGTCGGTTAAAAACCCAGCTTCAGTGATATTCGTGGAATAAACTTTTTAGTGGCGTAACAAGTTTTTTTTGTAATTTACTGTCGTTTAAAGAAGTGTAAAATTTTAATTTTAATAAGTTAGGTATGTAGGGGGTATTTCTAGTTATGCATCAATGTAGGCAAGATAGAACTACAACTTTTTATAAAAGCGTTATACCTATTTTAGATTGTATTGAACAATAGCCGAAAAAAGTTACGTCTTTCTTCCATGACAGGTGCGATGTCTTAAAATAGTTATCGGTTAAAAGTGTAGTATGTATAGATAAGATTAGTAAAAAGGTCACAACATTTTCATTGATACATTGGCCGAATCGTTACTTCCTTTTTAACCGCTACGGCACAGTGCCTCTGCCATGAGATTACAGTGACAATTATTACGTAAAATGTTTGTACATGTTGTTTCCTCTTGTGGCCGCTAGCGGCGTTGTATAATTTGCCATACGAAATTGTGAAGTAGTTTACGCAGTTGAGAACACAGATAAGGTAACTATGTGGGTAAACTATGTAGGTGTTACGTCATTGGCTCAGCGGTTAGCAATCGAACACGAAGGCGAAGATCCCGATTTCTTTTTTCGGTACGAGCAATTTTTTGAAACAGTAACATTGCAAACACAGAGCTTTGGATATAGTATAGGAAATTTTCTAGTTTGAGATCAAGTAAAAGTGAAATTTAATTATTACATGTTAACAGTTGGTTTTAATTAAGTTTAAGTCTTAAAACTGAATTTGAAACACGGCGTTAATATTTTAAAACAGTCGTTAAAAAACTAAAAATATTAATCTCTTAAAAATTTTTCAAAATGGCGCTTTCGCCCTATCTCCAAAACGCCAACTACAGGTATGTGGGAAACTAGGTCTACAACCCCTTCTAATCGGTTTTTAAATAACTTATTTAGTTGCAATTTTCTTAAGCAAAATTAGGCTAATATCTTCTTCGGTCTACTAGAAAGTCCGGATCACTCCATCCTTATGTCGTTGATATACCATCCATTCGCATTCCTCCTTTCTGATGCGTACGGCAAAGGAGTGGAGTGCTCTACTACTATCTGTATTTCCCGAAAAATACAATTTGAGGCTCAAGGCTAGAGTGAATAGGCATTTTTTTAGACAAACGCATACGTACCATCGTTGGTCACATCGTCGCTTAACATCAATTGATATTGTGGCCAAGCGTGTGTCTATTATGTATTAAAAAAACAAAATAATTGACATTTTCTAGGTGACAATAAAACTTTAGGTACCAATACCTCGAAAGTTGCCGAAATGCGAAAACGTTAGTTATGACAAGGAAGGCAGAATTGCTGTGCTTGTCTAGCACTTTGATTATTATTATTAACCAGGCTATGACTCGTTTGACACATATTGCACTCGCGATAAAATTATGTTCAAATAATTACGATACTTGGCAAATAAATGGAGTAATATGTGATTAATCATTGTAAAGACATAATTATGCTATTATAACTGCCTCCTTATTACTTAGCAATTAGTTAACTTTGGTACACAATATTAGAAACAATCGTAATAACTATTTAAACATAACTTTGTCTGAGATTAATGTGTAGAGATAATTAAATTAAAAACTTTATTAATGAAAACTTTTCTTTAAGTGACGGGACGAACAAGTCGTGCGCCTGGTGGTAAGCGACACGCCTGTCCATAACAGTTGCAGTGCCACTCAGAGCTGTAAATCACAAAGATCTGAAGGGCACTGCCACTGCGCCCGTCGCCCTGAGACATAAGGTCACAAGTGCCATGTGCCTGTCATTTCTCACAATACACTGCTTGGTGACAGAAATAGGTAAGGCGGACGAACACTTTCACGAGGAGATCTACTGCTTCTAAATCTAAATCACTTCTTGTTTACTAAAACAATAAAATATTATACAACATAAAGACGTACACTTCACTCCTTTTTCTCAATGGGATAGGCAGAGACCACTGCCGTCCATTTGCTATGATTCTGACACATTTCTTTCGTCTCATAAACATCGGTCAAGTAATCTTGAATTTTAGTATCAGTGGGGTATGTAAATTAACAAAAAAATAATTCTATTTCTTTTGTTTATCCCATGAAAATATTTGTCATTATTCTTCAATAAACAATAATCATTGTTAATTATATCCATATTGCAGTATTGACGTCATATTCTCATTAAAAATTAATTGTTCTTGTAATTTACCTAATAGCAGCGAGGGTACTTATTGCTTTCAAATTTATAATTTTCACTACAGACAGAGAAACACGGGTCTTGTTTTGCAACAAGTGTCCTCGCGGAGATTCCGAATACGTAATTTTATAAAATCACTCATCGCTGTTTCAAATTTGCACGACATTTCAAATTAGACTGAAGCCCCTCTATCACACAACAAATAAAGTTACAGCGATGAACACGTACGATATCTTTATCTGTTAATAGCTTCGTCCTATTAATAACTATACTTAACACAACTTACACAACGATGGCGGTATTCTTTATCCCTATTTATTTGCGTTCCACTTGTACATTGCAGATGTTTTTATGTTAATATTGAGCTTAAATTACAACCCTGAACAGGGCACAGGGAATAGTAGAAGGGTGGACTAGTCTCATAATTGTTACACTTACTTATTTTTTTATTTTTTTTTTATTATACATGATAGGCAAATGACTCCACTCCACCTGATGTTAAGTGGAAAGTGGTATCCAAACGCGAAGGAACCTAGTGCAGCGATGAAACCCTCACTGCACTAGCCACCTCCACCCTGCCTGCCTACAATATGCCTCTTCACGCCTCGTTTGAAGGACCCCATATCATAAGAGGGAGGGAAGACATGTGCCGGAAGGGAGTTCCATTTGTCAACCGTGCGGCAGAGAAAGGGGCCACCGAACCTTTTAGTACGCGATGGAATGCGGTAGGTAGTGAAACGGTGACTACGAAGGCCAGCACGCGTGCTTCTGAGCAGGAACGGGGAAGAGGGGATGAGGTTGAACAGCTCTTCAGAGCACTCACCATGGTACATGCGGTAAAAGGCGCTAAGCGATGCAAGATCTCTACGCAGTTGCAGAAGTTCAAGGCGTGATGAGACCTCTTCGTCGCCTATAATTCGAGTAGCACGACGCTGTAATTTATCCAAGGCATCGAGTAGGTACTTGGCGGAGCCGTCCCACAAGTGCGAACAATTAGATATCTAATATACAATTAGATATCTACCAACAGTTCTACATAATTTAATGTTATTATATGTACTATTTCTACAGTAACTAAAATTTAAACAAAATTATTATCCACAAATTACTAAACTCAGGTACCAAGAATTTATCTTCTAAAAACTCTTTTACATTATAATACCTTTGTTCATTATTTAGTTTCCGGAAATTTGTTATATTTTTTATTGACATGGCGTATCTGCTGGAGAAATGCATATTTAATCTAGAATATGGTAATACTAATCAGTTCCTATTTCGAAATGCATATTAAGTTGGGATGTCTGGTACGATTTTGATATAGGTCTTAATAGTTTCATAAATATTCACAAATTTCTAATTTAAACAAGGACAGTCAGAAGAACTATTTGTTTGGGCTATATTTGTGAGGATTCTAATTAATTTATTTTAAAGAGACTAGGCGTATCCGTGCTTTTGCCCCATAGAATTATAGCATAGTTTAACCTAGCGTAGACGTAGGCATAATAGGTAGTTGAAACAGTTTTAAAGTCTGCTTTTTTTAAAATTCATTTAAAGCATATACTGTGTTTTTTCCAATTCAAATGTTTATCTATGTCAACTCCTAATAATGTATAAACATCAACTGACGTGACGGGACGTACAAATCTGAAGGTAGTGGCCTTTGCGCCCGTCACCCTGAGTTGTCAAATCACATGTGCCAGTAATTTCACCAGCACCTTTACCCTTCAAAACCGGAACACAGTAATGCTGAGATTAGTGCTTGGCGGTAGAAACAGGAAAGGTGGCAGTACTTCCCTGGACATACTCTTTCACTAGGAGCTCTACTGCTACTAAATCAGTATCCTGGTATTTTGCAATATCTAGCAGGCTCTTCTGATGTGGGTGAAAAGTTATAATTTTAAGTTGTGGCAAGTTAATTTCGAGGTTGTAATCATTTTGTTCATTTAGCAGAGCTTTTTAGCTATATAGGTTAAGCATCATCGCGTACATAGCATTTTAATATAAACCTTTGTGAGTAATACTTACTTGCTGAATCAGTAAAAGGATGCATTGTGACTCACAATATATCATAATCTAAACTTCCTTAGACACACTTAGATAACCAAACAGTTATCGTAAATAATGACGGGACAGAAAGTGTTTAGAAAGTTGATGCTAAGCCTCAAGGGTCTCATTCTTAACATCAGACCCTGTGCTCTCATTCTCTGTCAAGCACCCATCCGAAACAATTATCCTTAAATAAGTAATACTAGACAAAATCAAAACACAAAGTCAAGTATGGAGCTTTTCTTTTTTTTTTTTTTTTTTTTTTATTTATTAGGCACACCAACAGTTACAACAATATTTCATTCATTAGACAACATCGAGAAAAAGCTTAATCTAATTGCTTAACCAATTACAGGTGAGCACCACATGCGAAAAAATTAAATGTGTAACATATGCTCAATATAAAATATAAAAACAATGAATACCAAGACATATTACTTTTTAAGTTTGTTACCTAAATAACAAAAAATATTATTTCTATCTATTATTAAGAAAGTGTACAATTGAGTTTTTTAACCCTGGGAGTGAATCATAGAAAATATCCACATGTTTGGAGCAGTCATTATACAAACCAGACATTCGAGCCACGGGGGAGTTCGAACCCAGTACTGTTCTACGACGTGGCGGGTGAAAAGGCTTAATGCGAAATCTGGGACGTTTAGGGGGAATTCTAAAATTTAAATTACCAAGTAGTTGTGGGCAGTCAACCATATTGTGAATGAGCTTATAAAGAAAAACTATATCTAATAATTCTCTGCGCTTTGAAAGAGGAGTAATTTTAAAATGTTTAAGTCTTTTGTCGTATGATTTAATTTTTTTTGACAGCCCAGCAGAGAAAGACAAATGCCATAAAAAGCGCTTTTGAACACGTTCTAGGTGCAATGAATTAACAGCATAATGGGGTCGCCATACCACACTGCAATATTCAAGTACACTCCTAACTAAACTGTTGTATAAAAGTATTTTCACCTTAGCACTGCGAAAGATTTTTCCGTTTCTCAAGACAAAACCTAGCATCCTGGACGCTTTGTTAATAGTTGACTCAATATGCGGTTTAAAAGTTAGTTTTTTGTCAAATATGACGCCCAGGTCCTTTACACAGTCCATCTCTGCAAGAACGGTGCCCTCTAAAGTATACACTGCTGGAAACACATGTATTCTACGAGTAAATTTAATAAATGAACATTTGCCAGTGTTCAGAAACATGCCATTAGATTTGCACCATATGCTAAGATTGTTAAGGTCATTTTGTAATAATTTACAATCCGTCATTGAATTGATTACCTTAACCAATTTAAGATCATCGGCATACAAAAATGGTGTTGAAAATTTAAAAACTCCTGGCAAATCGTTTATAAATACATTAAAGAGAATAGGACCAAGATGAGAGCCTTAAGGGACTCCAGACGTAATGTTATATATTGCAGAAGCAAATCCATTTACTACCACGTAGAAATATCTATTTCTCAGGTAAGATGCAAGCCACTGCAACATGGTGCCACCAAAACCGTACATAGTCAACTTCTCTACAAGAACACTATGTGAAACCTTATCGAAAGCCTTGCTGAAGTCAGTGTAAATGACATCAACTTGCGCACTCGAGTCAACCTTGCCAATAATT